CTAATTATTATTTATATTATGACATATATATCATGTCTGAGGGCTTCATATCAAATAGTATATAGTCTGGACAGGAGGATTGTGGGTGCTGGGATATGGAGGCAGAAAGTTTTTGTTGTTGCCTTTTACATTTTTTTCTGATTTTTTGAATAATTTTATTACATAATTTAATACATATGTGATAAATGTGAAATAGTATCTGAAATCTGAGTCATCAGAGTAGTGTAGCCATAGAGCCTTGGGGCTTCAGAGGAGGACAGTTGTTTTCAACTAGAGGGGAGGAAGAAGGTCTTCAAGAATAGGTAAGATTTTGGGTTGCCTGGGTGACTCAGTGGGTTCAGCGTCTGCCTTTGACTTAGGTCATGATCCCAGGGTCCTGGGATCAAGTCCCACGTGGGCTCCCTGCTGGGGGGGAAGCCTGCTTCTCCCTCTGCCTGCCACTCCCTCTGCTTGTGTGCATGTGCTGTCGCTCGCTCGCTCTCTGACAAATAAATAAATAAAATCTAAAAAAAAAAAAAAAGAATAGGTAGGATTTTGTACTAGCCCTCGTGTGAGGAAAACACACATAAGCAGAGATTAGGGGAGATCTAGACAGGGAGGTCAGTGAGAGAACATGCACGAAGGTTGGGAGGGGTGAGTGGTAGAAACAGTATCAAGTCACCTGGCTGGAATATGGGGGAGTGGAGAAAAGTGCCTGCATTGTGTGAAAGGTCGCTGGGGAAAGTTATAATGGAGGGATCAGACTAACATCTTCTGAACCCCCAATCAATCTTAATACCCCTAGAAGCGGGACAACCACCTGTGACGTATTCTTGTCAAAAAAAAAAAAAATCTAAATGAACCTCAAGATCTAAATAGCAGTTGACAGAAAACATGGGAAACAGAGGAACATTTAAACAATACCATGAGGATACACTCGGCCAAGTCCAGAATGTGAGAATGTCTACAGGACAAATGAACTCATTTCTTCAATAAATATGTGGCATGAAAAAGAAAAAGGAGAAAGAACTGTTATAGATTTAAAGAGATTTAAATGATGTATCAGCCAAATCAATGTGTGAACCTAAGTTGAACAAACTATCTGTATAAAGAAATTTTTTGAGACAATGTGGGAAAATCAGATACGGACTAGGTATTAGATGAGGATTATTCATGTTGCTGGGTGTGAAATGGGGTGTGTGTGTGTGTGTGTGTGTGTGTGTATTGAAGTTTTATCTGTCAGATTAGAGATTCCCCTGAAATATTTACAGTAGAAATGATAAAGTGTTAGCAATCTGCTTTCAAATATTGCAGCCAAAACAACCGACAAAAAGCCAGAATCGGAGAGGGGCGGGAGATAGAGAACAAGAATAGCAGGAACTTGATTTTCGAAGCTGAGGGATAGGTCCCTGGGTGTTTATTTTCTCTTCTACATGCTTTGGAGTGTGTTTAAAATTTTCCATAATAAAATGTCTTAAGGAGTTTGAACTTTACTGGGTGGGAGGGGTGGTGCATGACCCAGGTAACAGTGTGGGAGATGGCCAGGAGGAAGGCGGACTAGAGGTGGGAGCTCATTTAAAACCTGGATTAGGTCTTAAAGGTACAACTTTCCAGTTATAAAATAAAAAGCCATGGGGATGTAATGTACGGCATGGCAACTCTAGTTAATACTGTATTGCATATTTGAAAGTTGCTAAGAGAGTATGTCTTAAAAGGTCTCATCACAAGAAAAAAATGTTCTGTAATTATGTATGCTGGCGGATGTTAATTAGACCTTACTGTGGTGATCGGTTTATAATATATGCAAATATCCAGATCATTACGTCTGAATTGTACATCTGAAACTAATATAATGTTATATGTCAATTATGCCACAATAAAAAAAAAAAAAAAAAGAACCTTGATTAGGGTGGTGGCCATGAGAAAGGAAACTTTTCCGAGAATAGGTAGAGGAAATAAGAGCAAAAGAGGAACTCTGGCAGGTTGGTGGTACAGAAGTGAATCAGGCGCGTGATGGGGAAAATTCCCTTCTTCCTCTTCAGTAACTAGCAATCATTGTCCTTAAACTGCTGCACTAGTGCTGCAGGTTGAAGAGAAGAGGAAGAAGGGGTCTTCACTGCAGAGGAACTGAACCAGGTCTTCATACTAGCCAAAGTGGAAAGCAATGGGGAAATGAAGAATTCAGAAGTTGGGTTTTTGGGTTTTTTCCCCCTCTTTTTCATAAGGAATTACTTGTGGTTTCAGTATGAAATTTTTGGGTACAGTGATTTATTTTGATCATCCTTTCCTAATTTATTGAGGAAATGGTGATAATCCTTGTCAATGGTCCCATCTGAATCATTTATGATATTAGTTAAAATAGATTTTATATTACTCATTTGTGAAATTGAACACTTTACAATAATGTGTGGGAGGTTAATTAAATGAGTTGAAATGATATGGTCTCGGGAAATAAAAGTTGAACTATAAGTTAATGAAAGCTTAGATTTAAATATATACCTTCTGATTTGTCTGTAGCATAAATATTAAAAATAAACTTCATATAGAAACAGAAAGTAGCAGTTGTTTGAGACTAAAGAGAAATGGTCAAATAAAAAAAAAAAGAAAAAAGAAATGGTCGTCCTTTAGCCCTCTACAACTCAAAGACCATCAATACTTCACACAGGAAATATTAGTAAGGTCTGATATAAACAGACCCTCCAGAGAGGAATACGCACCCCAGAGGATAGCTTTCTGATCATGTTTGCTCTCTACTTGATTGTTCTTTTTCAAGAAATTAACGCTACAAACTGCAGCCTATAAATATGGGCCATTTCCTATGATCAACACCAATCTCTTCTGTCTCAGTTTAATGTACCTATTTAGAGAGGGCTGAGCCAGGTGGTTGAAAAATCTGGAAACACAATGCATTCTCTACCCTTACTCTGCATCAAGAAGGTGAAGGGACTTTTGAGACACCCAGGCAGGACTTCTAACTCGGTCCACCCGGGCTGGCATCTACCACCCTAGCTTGGACAGTCAGAAAGAGGTGAGTTTTTAATCAGGTTTGCTGCTGGCTTGGGCCCAATTAAAGTAGAATTTCTAATTCGTGCTTGCTATTGTAAAAAGCTCTCAGGGAGGAAAGAAAAGGAGAGAAAAATTCCTAGCTAAAAGCAAGAAAGGTAGTTTTTATTTTACTCAGGGATGCGTAGCTGAGCCATTGGGTCACAGGACAGATGGGGATGGAGGGACACATGGTTATGAGTCTTATTATGGAAAAGATTGAACTACCATCAGCGCTTGATGGAAATGAGAGGGGGAGAGGTAGCAGCAGCGTCTCTAACAACACTATCTCCCTTATTGCATTATCAGAAAAGACAGATAACTGAGAATAGGCATCCATTATCTCTCTCTACAAAGGGATTATGTAGGTTGCAAGAAATTAATGGCTTTTGAGTTATCACAGACTAATGAATGTCAGGACTAGAGATGTAAAGCAGGTAAAATTGGCTTTTCTCTGCCTCATTTCTCTCCTTTTCTCTTTTGGTTTGCTATTTTAAGATCTAGATCTGTGTTACTTTTTTTTTTTTTTCCTTCAGCCAAGATCAGAAATCATACCCTTTGGGAGTGTGATTTGTCTTCTTTAGGGAATGACTCAATTAGTTTATGACTGTCTCCAATGTGTGCTAGCAAAGAAATTAAGAAACAGAATGAAATGAAAATTTCAGAAATGAAAATCTCTACCAGGGAGGGGTGCTGCCTCTTGCATGGATGTCCTTTTCATGCCTGATAAAAGTATCAGGAAGTCTCCCAAATGACAGTCTCCTTCTATTAAAGTACTAAACTTGCATACGTTACAGCTAAGCATTGATTAAAGATGGCACAACCAGATAAACTCGTGAAACAGGGGAAGGGAAAGAAATAATACCTACTATATGCTGGGCATTGTCCTGGGAGCTATATTTCTCATTCAACAAGTACTTTTTAAAAGCCTACTGTGTACTAGGCATGGCACTATGTGCTCTGATAATAAGGATGAAAAGACAGACCTCTCTTCTGTCCTCAGTAGAGCTTACAGTCCAATGGGGAGGACACACTTCTTTAAAAACTTCAAAATTTTTTTTTTATTCAGATATTTAAATACACGATTATAGTACAGCCTTATAAGAACCCATCAGAGAGGAATAATAGGGATACCTGTTACTGACCCAGGGCTGTGTGTTTGCAGGTGAGGGATTGGGGGAGTCAGGACAGACTCTGTTCCTGGAAGAAAGCATGGCTAAGTGAGGAAGGGTAAGTGTGTGGTAGCTGGGGGAAGCAGTGGGAAGGAACATTGTAAGCAGAAGGAACAGTATAAGCGCATCCAGGCTCAGAAGTGAGAGAGAACTGCTATCTAAGCAGAGACCTAAAACGAGCTAGTTGAGTCAAGCCTGGGGAAGTAGTTGTAAGACAGAAGGCTCATGAACTGGCCTTGAAGACTAATGGGGGTGTCTGAGAAACAGGAGTTTATCGGCAGCAAACTTCATGTTCTGTTCTATCCTTTCCATTGACCCTTCTTGGCTTTCCTAACCCAAAGAAAGATGGAAGTATTGGCAAGGAGTTAGGTCATGTGACAGGAGGAATGTTCTCTCTCATGTATTTGGTACTCTGTAGAATGTTTCCTAGAAAACATGGAATCCTGGGGAAGTGCAGTTGTTTCATGGGCCCATGGGGGATGGTCCCAGTTATTCCAGTATTTCTGTTTTCCGCACAGACCTCTGCACGTCACACTGACATTGCAAACCACCCCACTCTGTACTTAATCTTATGCTCATAATTCCACCTTCGTGAAGTTTTTTAGACCTGAAATTTCCCCCCGATTACATCTTGTCACTTGTACTATCTTGGAATTGTACTGCTTCTACTGTGTTTGCTTTGAACCAGAAAGATGTCATTCCCTGATCTCTTTAGTTTCTTGCACCTGCCTTTTCATCTCATTGAGTTCATTCATATTCATAAATTAATGCACATTGCTTCTTCTGTTTTGTTTTTTTTCTTTCTAGAACACAAGCAGGCATTCCCAAACATTCTGAAGAAGGGGTACCTGGAGATTAGGAAGGACCATGACAGTTACTGGCAAAGCTGTTACGCAGAACTCTCCCCCTACAACTTCTACTTCTACAGCCTTGACAGCAGTGGCAATCAAGCCCTCTATGCCACCTACCAGCTTTCACACTTCCAGAGCATATCTGTTTTGGGCAACCTCGAGGCCAGGCTGGTGGATACCGTTCTGTATGACAACACTCAGCTGCAGTTAAAGGCAGAGTCACCATGGGAGGCTTTGGACTGGGGGCAGAAGCTTTGGGAAGTCGTGCACGCTGCCGTGCCTGGTTATGTGGGGCGGCAAGATGAGCTGGCCAACTCACCAGGGCTTGGTCATCACGTTGACTGTACACAGAATCACTGTTTACAGAAGAAATCCAGTGAGCTGCTCGCACCATCCCCTGTCTTGGATAGTCCCAGACAGTACCAAAACATCATCAAATCAGGGACGCTGTACAGGCTCACCATCCAGAACAACTGGAAGGCATTTACTTTTGTGCTTAGCAGGGCCTACCTTATGGCTTTCCAGCCTGGCAAGCTAGACGAGGATCCCCTGCTAAGCTACAATGTGGACGTGTGTCTGGCTGTCCAGGTGGACAACCTGGACGACTGTGACTCTTGCTTTCAAGTCATTTTCCCCCAAGATGTCCTCCGCCTCCGCGCTGAGACCCGGCAGAGGGCCGAGGAGTGGATGGAGGCTCTGAAAACAGCAGCCAATGTGGTGAGGAGTTCAGAGCAAAACCTGCAAGTCACCCTGAGGAGCAAACCCAAGGATCAGATGGGTGGGCACGAACTCAGGAAGAACAAACGTCAGTCTGTGACCACCAGCTTCCTCAGCATTCTCACAACTTTGTCTTTGGAGCGAGGACTCACTGCTCAGAGTTTCAAATGTGCAGGTATGAAGCAAATGTTTAGTCTAAAGCTTATTAAAGAACAGTCCTGAATCCCACTATTGGAATTCACTTTAAAAATCCCCTCAGTGGACCAGTCACAGCTGCCTCTTGTTTAAAAAGCATCTCTCCTTCAAGGAGTTTGCTACATCAAAACATCTGTCTATCTTCATGCCATGCTGGTGAAGTAAGTAGAAGCAGATAAGATAGACCCCACTGAATCAAAATGACTTAGCCAAAGCATAATGAGCCTAGAATTTAGGCTTCTTGTGTCTGCTCTGATTCCATTTCCTCTGTCTTCTTAAATAAAGGTCACTGGGAATGTGGATGTCACAGATTGTCTCAAAGGAGATACTCAGGCCCAAAGCTGACTGCTGACACTCCTTAGGGAAGAAAAATGTCTGTAGTCAGTAACTGTCATTGATCATAACCTTGTCAAATCCTGTTAAGGTAGAATCTAGAAAGTCAGCCTTGACAGAAAATTTGGAGGTGGCTAACAGCAGGGTAGATGATGATTCGGCAGATGACCTCTGAGTCACAGTAGGCCTGTGCCTCATCCTGGGGAAGTCAGGGCTTCTAGACCTGCTATGGAAGAGTGAAGCACAAAGTAGAGTTCAAGGCCAATCATCTATTATTTCTTAAAACCCTTTTACTGCATCTCTCCCCTACTTCCCATTCCTTTCACTTTCCCCCAACCAGTAAACTAGACAAAATAAAACCCTCACTAAACCAAATCTATGTATCTACTATAAACCAAATCAAATTATTTCGCTTTCACTAAACCCCACAGTTTGGGACAAGAAATGTATCCTTAAGGTAAATTTACCATGAAAGTAATTTAATTGGAAACCTGATTTGGAAGATTTTAATTCAAGTGTATCAGATTTAAGTATGTTATTTAAAAAAGAACAGGAAGCTGACCACCGGCCAAGACCAAATTTTCAATTTTTGCTTGTTCCTGCCTTGAAAGCCAAACAGTGGTGGCACAATGAAAATTTCAATTTAGGTTATTTGGGATGATTGCCTTTTCTATTGAAAAATAATATACCTAAAGAGGGGATTAAGTGGATCATCCCTGCTTTCTCTGGAGGGCCTCAGTAACCATTGAAGCAGAAACTTGCAGGGTTGGGTAGGGGAGACCAGCAACACTGAGCTGGTAAGGAAGCCATACTAGGTGATATGCATGTATCTGCAGGCATGAATGACCTTGTGTTAAGTCAGCCAGCTACTTTTGCAAAATGGTTTTGAAATAAGGGGATACTAGCTTTACCACAGCTTTTGGAAATTATTGACATTTTAGTGTCTTATATTAGTACATATATTTTATTTCAAAGTTCAGTCATTCAACAATAATTTATTGATGCTGACTCTGTGAACATTCTGGAATTATGATACACTTCTGTGGCTTTGGATTGCTGATAGGGCCAACAGATCTGTTGTGTTACTGGAATCAAGGAGAATAGAATAGTTTTCAAGGTGGAGACTGGAATAGCTGAATTGGGAAACTTTCTAGTAAAGAGGAAGAAAAGTCTCAGGGATTACACAAGGATTGTCACATAGTTGACCCCTAATTCACCTTCCTCTCATAAGTTTGCTTCCTGATGGAGTGTGCACTGTCCACATTCTGGCCTGCATTAGCAGTGTTTCTAGCACTCGGAGGAAGGAGAAATGCAAGTAGAGGTAGCATTCAGCAGGTCCATCACATACTAGCAGTTGGAGAAATGAAAACAGGAAAAAGACAAAGAAGGGTGAGTAGAAGAGGCAGGGAGAAGGAAACTAAGTAGAAAAGAATAGGGGAAGGATTACAGAATGGGCAGGGATAGAACTTTTTGGCAGCTGCTTTAGGTTCCATGTTGCAGGATATCTCCCTTTGCTGTCTAAATGTCCTCACTCAGTTTGGCCTGGTTAGAGAATAGGTTGGGGATGGGTGGTAATAGGGAATCCAGGAGGCAGGAGAAATGAAATCTAAAATTCATTTGCTCTGCTCAGCTTTTACCTTCATGCTCTGGTTTGGAGTTCTAATAAATCACAGGTAGCTTTCTAATCTGGGGTGGGGAGAATTCAGTCCTAATTTGTGTAGTATGGCGGATTCCCAAGTAGAAATTTTTTATTTCCTTTCAGTGCCCCTTCTATTGGAAAATACTACATTCAGTTGCTTTGTGCTACACATGGTTTACCGGGTCACTTTTCATTTTCCTTCATTGCAGCATGGAATACTGGTTTCCTACCCCAGGCAGGAATACTTCACCTCCTGTAGGGGGCAGAGTCTCAAAAGAAAAAGGCTAAAACTTGTAAGCAAACCTCCGAATGTTTTTAAAATTACTTGGGAGGTTGTTCATTATATTAAAAATTATTATAGCAGATGGAACCTTAAAAATTGATCTCTCACAAACACAGTTAATCTAAACCAGCTGTTTATTCATTTAGTATTTGTGTCCCCTAACTATTCATCCTTGTAAAAACATCCATTTGGTGAAAAAGCTAGTTGCATAGTATGTTTACCTTCTAAAACATCAAAATTCTCACTAACTTGTTTTTAGTTGAATTTGGCATTATCTGTTATTTTAAAGAGATGCTCATTCAGAATATTTCCTGGTTATAGTGGGTGTCTTTAGAATGTAAATTTTTACGTCCACGTAGTCCCTCCCCCTTTAAATATGTTTTTGAGGATTTATTTATTTATATACTTATTCTGTATTTTATGACAGAGCAGCTCTTTATTATGATGCCATTCAGTTGCTGTCCGGGCGATCTACAAATGTTGGCTTTTAAATCTACAAAATAGTGCAGTTGGCGTTCTTTCACTAAATTCTTTCTGTAGGTAAAGAATTTTCGATATCCTTTTTGGAAACTTGAAGAGCCCCGGCAGAGAAAATGGACCACAACCATCCCAAAATGCCTGAGGTTATGGTTTTGGAAATACATGCTTATATATAACTGTGTATTTCTTAACATGTGCTTGAACTTTTTATAGTTGTATTTGATGCTGTGTGGTTCGTTCCACGGCTTCCTTTCCAGCCCCAGGGCTGCCTCATGCTAGGAAGCCGCAGCCACAGTGGTCATCTTGTTGTTCTGGAACCTACCTTGGTCATTCTTGCCTCCGGGGCCTTTGCACTTGCATTCCTTCTTCCTGAAAACATGCCTTTGGAAATGAAGTTCTTTCCTTCTTCAGCCTACCATTTATTGTGTGCTGAGTTTCTGCCCATGTGCCAAAAACTCAGGTGCACCCAGAGAAGTCAGAGCTGCAAGAAAGCAGACATGGTCCCTGCCCTCATGGAACCTACAGTCTGCTCCGGGAGCCGGATATTAATCACATAATCATGTCATGAATGCCAGATGGCCACTGTGACAAAGCTAGGTGGTGGCAAAGAGAACTATATGAAATAGCAGCTCTTCAGTAATTTTTGACCGGCAAAAGGAGTTTGATAGGGTTGAACTGAACATGTGACCCTGAAGTCACAGAAGGTTCCTGAGCAGAGAGGAGCATATGATACAAGTGGTATTTCAGGACAGTTAATTTGGTGCTGCTTTAGTACAGCTTTTCAGGAACACCTCTGTAGAGGAAAATGAGGTACGATTCTCTAGCAGAGTTACTGGTTGGGATTTAAAATTTCGTTTGGCATCTGTGGTATTAAAATATTAATACTAAAACAAATGATTATGCAGCTTATTAAAATATTTATGAAGTATGTACCTGTAAGTGGTTCTAAATTAGGTTGCTCACAAAATGCTGTATAACTTAGATCATAAGGCAGCCGCCCTCTTTTCTTCAGGAATTAGACATGTGTACATACCTATTTCCCTCCAGTAGATACAGGGTTTTCTTGGCACGAGTACATACAACTATTTTTCCTGTAATTTCCCAGCAATCAAGAAACCTACCAATTGAGTACTATAATCAAAGGGCCCAGGGCCTTGTTTTAGGTGCCATAAGATCTGCAAAGCTCACCGTTCAAAGCGTTCTTTCTGTTCCTGCTTTGTAATCTGGGAGTGATGTCGGATGGCCACTGTGGGACAGTGTTCCTGATTCTGGACTGAAGTTGAATAATGTTAACAAAAGAGACAGCAAGAAAAATAGTGAGCTGAGGGGAACCCCTCTACTATTTTCACACTGTCAGTTTTATGGTTTTACTCCTTTGGCTGCTGTTTAACCTCTCAGGACTGCTGTTGCTAATTACATCTCTCTGGCATTAAGAGCTTTTGCTTTCCTTCCCTCCCCGCCCCCCCCCC